CTAATCAAGGTAAAGTCACATACCAAAAATCAGCTCAATATTTGAAAGCGTTTAGAAGAAAATTGCGGAAAACCCCTAAAAATTGAAAAGGCCGTAATTCCGTCAAAAATCAATGAAGCGGAAAGAAATGCAAACTTGATCTGTAACTTATCAAGATACACTCACATATCAAAAATCAGCTCAATATCTGCAAGCGTTTAGGAAAAAAGTGCGGAAAACCAAGTGGGACAGACTGGCAGACAGACAGAGGGACAGACAGACAGACGGACAGACAGACGGACGGACAGACTCAGAGGAAACCTATAGTCCCCTCCGGTTTCACCGGTAGGGGACTAACAAGCATTCTGAGAGTATTGCATTAGCAATACTAGTCCCCTACCGGCAAGTGTAATCTGGTTCCCGTTAAGAATTGAAAATGCCATAATTTCTTTAAAAATCATTGAAGCGGAACAAAATGCAAACTTGAAACCGGAGGGGACTATAGGTTTCCTCTGAGTCTGTCCGTCCGTCTGTCGGTCTGTCTAGCTGTCTGTCTGTGCTTCTGTCTGTCTGTCAGTCTGTCCCACTTGGTTTTCCGCACTTTTTTCCTAAACGCTTGCAGATATTAAGCTGATTTTTGGTATGTGAGTGTATCTTGATGAGTTACAGATCAAGTTTGCATTTCCTACCGCTTCATTGATTTTTGTCGGAATTATGACCTTTTCAATTTTTAAAGGTTTTCCGCGATTTTTTTCTAAACGCTTGCAGATATTGAGCTGATTTTTGGTATGTGACTTTACCTTGATTACTTATAGATCAGGTTTGCATTTCGTTCCGCTTCAATGATTTTTCACAGAATTATGGCATTTTCAATTCTTATCGGGAACCAGATTACACTTGCTGGTAGGGGACTAGTATTGCTAATGCAATACTTTCAGAATGCTTGTTTACATATAACATTAATTTGTTACAATACATGGAGTATAATACCTTATTATTACAGGATTAAACGTTCTTTTTGAAAATTTTATCGATGTGTAAATTCTTGACATTTTACTCACAAACTAAACAAGCACTAGATGAAATCCCGCGCAAGCGCGGGGAATTGAATTTATACTACTACCGACAGAAAATATATTGTAGTTTCTACTGACAGCCTACAGGCTTATAGCAGGAAGAAATACTTTGTTCAAAATCCTGCAGGAAGTAGATGTACGCCCCCCCCCCCCATTTGTGAAAATTTGAAGAAAAAAAACAATTTCATTAATTGGCATTTATTGTGAAACCTGTTACACTATGTTATGGATATTGTACTTCAGATGCTCTTATTTCATTTCCCTCAAGGATAAAAGCAGCGAAATATGCACATTTTACTTATAAATTGATTTTTTTGGGGGGTGGGTGGGTGGGGGGGGGGTTAAAATTCACTGGTATTGGGCCTTGCTTTATAAATATGTACGTACCTTATCGATATGTAAAAAATGTACTTTACTTTTTTACATACATGTATCAATAAGGTACATACGTATTTATAAACCAAGACTCAAGTACCTGTGTAAAAATTAGCTTTTAACGCCCTATGAATAGGCCGAGTATTTGATACAAAGGACTGTATTCAGAAAAATAACTGAAATATATTGATTAAAGCACAAAAGTTTACAGTTTTGATTGTATTTGAACAATACCTTATTCATTAATTTTCTACAAATTGTACTTCGGGTTCGTTGCCACGATGCTCTCAGTGAGGATTTTACCGTTTAGGAAAACCTACTACATATATGTTTTTAGTCTTTCGATATATAAATATATTCAAAACTTATAGTGTTATCAATGATTTACCATTATTTCAATGACCATTCACACAAAAGCTTTTTTTTATATTCATGTAGCATAATAGCCTCGTTTTTTTTTTTAACATCGGGCTCGATGCTATTTGTCTAAAAGCTTCCGTCAATATTAAGATCGGTGAATGACGAAAATAATTTGCACATTTCCCTTTTTAATCGGGTATCACACCTTATCTCTTTTATATCATTTAAATCAAGTTTTGATTGAATAATTCAGTGATGATGTTTTATGAAATAAATGAACGATTGCTTGTTGTCAGTGTCATTAAAAATTGCCAGTAACTTAGATCCGCCAACCGGAAACGCCACCATACTCATGTTTTTGCTAATTCATTGCTGTTTATAGAAAATGAGCGTAGACTTTTGATTTAATGTACGATACTAACTATCCGAGTGAAATCTAAATATAGTTTACGGACATCATCTTGTATCTAGTGTATTCTTAGAGGAGTTAGTATGAACTCTGGTGCACCCGTTTCGGAGTTTATTTGCAAAATTTATTAATTTATAAGTATAGATTCTGAAAGTATTGCATTAGCAATACTAGTCCCCTACCGGCAAGTGTAATTTGGTTCCCGATAAGAATTAAAAATGCCATAATTCCGTCAAAAATCATTGAAGCGGAACGAAATGCAAACTTGATCTATAAGTAATCAAGGTAAAGTCACATACCAAAAATCAGCTCAATATCTGCAAGCGTTTCGAAGAAAATTGCGGAAAACCCCTAAAAATTGAAAAGGCCGTAATTCCGTCAAAAATCAATGAAGCGGAACGAAATGCTAACTTTATCTGTAACTCATCAAGATACACTCACATACCAAAAATCAGCTCAATATCTGCAAGCGTTTAGGAAAAAAGTGCGGAAAACCAAGTGGGACAGACTGACAGACAGTCAGAGGGACAGACGGACGGACAGACTCAGAGGAAACCTATAGTCCCCTCCGGTTTCACCGGAAGGGGAATAATAAAAGCGCGAAGCACTTTTATGTTAAGTTTGTGAGTAAATTGTCAAGAGTTTACACATCGATAAAATTTTCAAAAAGCACGTTTAATTCTACGACGTTTTAATATTATTAGTCCGGTGAAACCGGAGGGGACTATAGGTTTCCTCTGAGTCTGTCCGTCCGTCTGTCTGTCTGTCCCTCTGTCTGTCTGTCAGTCTGTCCCACTTGGTTTTCCGCACTTTTTTCCTATACGCTTGCAGATATTGAGCTGATTTTTGGTATGTGAGTGTATCTTGATAAGTTACAGATCAAGTTTGCATTTCTTTCCGCTTCATTGAGTTTTGACGGAATTAGGACCATTTCAATTTTTAAGGGTTTTCCGCGATTTTATTCTAAACTCTTGCAGATATTGAGTTGATTTTTGGTATGTAATTTAACCTTGATTACTTATAGATCAAGTTTGCATTTCCTTCCACTTCAATGATTTTTAACGGAATTATGGCATTTTCAATTTTTAACGAGAACCAAATTACACTTGCCGGTAGGGGACTAGTATTGCTAATGCAATACTCTCAGAATGCTTATTTCTATTTGAAGCCTCCTTACAATCCGTTCTTTCTGCATGCAGCGTAGGAATACTTTATGTCGTGATGTGGAAATGAAACGTAACGGAGATGAATATCGATAAAGTTTTACTTAAATTGTCAAAACATTCAATAAAACAAACTTATAAATACTCTTCGAATATTGTTTAGTCAACGAATATCGTAAATACAAGTAGACTTCAGAAGAATTCGTCCTTGACCATGTTGACATTAACGACAAACGCTCTAAAATGAAAGTAGCATACCGACGACACCCTTGATTTGCTCTGGTTTGTTTAAAGGCATACAAGCTGCTTAAAAACGACTTTTTTTGGGTGGGTTTAAATCATTTTCAATAAACTTACGTCTTCAATTAGATGAAATAGAAATATTCAGCAAAATTTGTTTGTTAAAACTGACTAATTAAAAAAAAGAATGATAATGAAATTATTACAAATCGCAGTTGTTCTCGTGAATATTCATGAAGCGAAAGAGTTCCTTTGACCGCTCTGCGCATGTGCGCGGGAAAACTGACGCAGCGATCGAAAATGGAAGAAGAGGTAAGAAATTTGGATAAAGTTGTTTCAGTAATAATGCTGAATAAAATGACTTATTTCATGGACGTAAATGTTATTTCCCAATTGATATTTCTTCATTGGTACGGGATTACAGGCATATTCCATACAAAATATGTTTCTAGATGTTAGAAATCAATCGTGTTATGTTATTATCGGGCATGGGGCCCCGGTGAAGGGAAAATCGTAAATTTAATACGATAGGAATAAAACGATCCTGTATTATTTTGTGTTTATTTTATAATATGACTGAGTGATATACTACTTGATAGTATACTACGTAATAAAAAATAATAGAATTTACAGCGCTACGACAAATGTATTTACCTGTACTTTCTAGTAAATTTCGTCACATGCAGTGCGCACAATGCATTTAACTTTCTAGAGGGGGTACTGTAGGGGTATTTTATCTACATTTTCATTTGCAACCTACTGATAAAATTTCAGGTGCCTGTTTATATTTTAAACTCACAAAATGCAACTTTACTCGAATTGTAACATTATTATGACAACACTCCAACATGTATAAGGTTATAAATAAAAACGTTTGCACATGATAGCTATAACAGCGTGTAGAAAACAGTTTGTTCCTTGTAATATTTTAGATAAGCTCAAGTGCACCCTCTAGTCCAGAGAGAGACAGAAGAAAGCAGAGAAGGGTGGAAAAAGTGACTCAAGTTCTAGCCCTGTTAGGCGTGGAGCAATGAGGGGGAGAGGAAGAGGAAGACCAGTAGGCAGAAGGGGAACAAGGGGTGGACGTGGTGAGGAAGAGGGTCAAGGAGAGGGAGACAAGAACACAGAGGAGATGTAGCTGCAGCTGCATGCACTGCAGGAGAGGCAAAGAAATCTAAGAGTATGTAAAATATTTTGAAGTATTTTGATTGTTTACATAAAATGTAGCATTTCTGAGTTGTGTACTCCTACTACTCCATGTGTATAATTTCTTTAAAAAAATTCAAAATATTTTGATGATTTAATTAACATAGCAGTTCTGATTTATGTACTCCATTTGTATAATTTTATAAATGAATAAAATGTACTAATGTATGCATGTACTTGCAGGCCCGTGTAGAAGAAATGAGCGATGAAGCTAGAAAAGAAGTGCTTATAAAGACAGGAGAACAGCACCCAAGTCTTCTGTTAGAGATCATTGAGCAAGAAGCACCACATTTACAAGGAGGGTTTCACCCACTGCCTGGTGGAGAAAGTCCAAGTTGGTGCTCCTGCCTCAAATGCCGTGATATGCCAACACAGATAGAGAGAGTTTGTTGTGGTAGACCTCCTAACCAATGTCAGTCACAGCTGCCGGTGAGATATATTTCTATTTCATTTATCAGAGTTTTAATTAACATCCTTCAAAAGTGGATATGTATTGTAGTATTGTATTCTAAGTCACAGAGTGTTTGTAATAAAAAAAAATATTCAAAACTTATTTATATACTACTGTAGGACTTCCGCCTGTTAATTCTGGATGAGCTGGTATTAACGATCGTCCAGATGTACAGGCAAGATGTTCTGGCCCTGCCTCAAGATGAGGATTATAACAAAGGAAAGAGGTATGCTGCCTATAGGCAGTTTATCTTATGGCACCATGGCCGCCTTGGAGTTGGTGTTCGACGTGTAATACCCAGTTGTGTTTGGTCTATCCGAGACAAGTATCCAGACCAGTATGGACAATATGTTAGTTTAATCCCTTCTCGTTTAGGATAAACACTTTAATGAACCATCATTTTAGACATATTTTTTTTTAGTTTCCTTTATTTTAGTGAGCCATATGACCAGAGATTGAGATTACTGTTGAGAGTGATCAACATGAAGGAATGTGTGCCTCTTAAGTTTGTATAATGTTGTGTGCTACAGGAATTTTAGTGATGATTGTAAATTTAGGATTGTAAAATATTATGTTATGGTGAAAGTTGTTTTGAGGACTTTAGTTTTCATTTATAATTTTTTTTTTTTGTACAAGTAGAAATTTTTATTATGCCCGGCCATGGGTATGGCCTGGGCATATATAGTGTTTGACATGTCCATCTTTCCTGACACACTTGCCTTTTAGCTCAGTTTCAAAGAAAATTTTTATCAAACCTATTATATGCTGACACACTGATGAGAACTATGCAACATAATTTTTTATGACATTTCCAAGATATTCTATCAAACTTTATATGCTTATACCCATTGAGAGAAATTCATTGGCATAAAGAATTTGACCTTGACCTTTCCTTTGACCTTTATTTTAAATTTGTGTTTAGCTAAATATCAAAGAAAGTATTCAAAATATTTGTATCATACTTCATATGCTGATACATATTGATATGAAATGCATTCAAGTGCATCAGTATTATTTGACTTTGACCTTACTTTTCATAATGAGTCAATTTTTTTACTATGTCCTAATGATCTATTTATTGTGTATGAAACTCTTTTTTTAAAAGAAATTATTCAAGATATTTTCATCAAACTTGCACTAATGCAAATTTTCATGTTGCATTACTATTAATGAACCCTTGGCAGAAATTAGTTTTCCTGATACTGTTGTTTTACTGTATTAAATAATTTGATGCATTATCAAAAATAAAAAAAAAATCTTCAAGATTTGACACGTCTTTAATTTGTTATTACATGTTTCCACAAATGTCAACAGCAAATGTTTACATACAAATGCAATTTCTTCACCTGAGATTTGACATTTTCTTCACTTGTTATTCCAGTCTCTGGTGAGACTGAGAGTCTGTCTCTACCCAGTACTGATTTGTTCTTGCTATCAGCAAACCAAAGAAGTACATGGACTCAAATTTTTTCAGGATAGATTTTCAAATATATACTTTTATCGACAAGGCCTATGGGCCACATTACTCTGCTTTTCAGGAGCAGATTTTTTTTTTTCATTTTCATTAACACAAGTTTTTAACCCCATACTGTGTCCACTACCAGGCCCAAGAATCATGGCAGTGCCTGATTTAAATCAACACATATTGGATGCTTCAATATAATTAGGTTTAACATGGCCTTAATGTTCTGAAGAAGTAAGCATGCTTCAGGTAAAACTATCCCTGATATGTATCCAAAGGACCCATAATATGTGCCTTAAAATATTTTACATGAATATTTCCATATGAATGTGATATAGTAAGATCATGCTTAATTTTTAAAAAACTATATTGAAATAAATATATTTCCTTTTAAGAACCTTGAATCTACTCTATCTTGGGAAACTTTCAAATATTTTCATCCTTTTCAATGATTATTACTATTAATCTCCCCTTGAAAAGTTGGTAAATAAACTTGAACCCCTTTACCCAAGAATGCATGAAGGCAAGTTTTGTTGAATCAAGTCCTGTGATTCTGGGGAAGTAGTTGAAAATATGAGTAGTCTACATAGGCAACACAAGGCATGGACAGGCAGAAGAAGGATACTCATTGATCAGAAAGCTCACTTGAGCATTTGCAGAAAGCTAAAACCATATTTCATATAAATCAAATCATGATGGAATGGTGTATTTACAATAAAACTCTAACATACAAGAAAAAAGATAGGTGTCAACCACCTCGTTATTGCACAAGTTCTGATATTTTGACTAGTAGAGTTTACATCAGAGAAAGTGCCTGAGTAGACCAGTACATACCAAACACCAGTACATCTACACAACCGTAGACCCTCTTCAAAAAATACAAAACTGTCCAAAACTAGTCTATTGACTGAATCGTGATTTCTTTTCTTGTACTAGTTCTTCTGTCCTTGGTGGTGGCACTGGGGCAATATCCTTCTTGGATCTCCAACTTCTAGAACCATTTTCCCCTGAAGACCTTCTCTATCCTCTATCCATTTCTGCAGAACTATTCTGAGGAGGGAAGACACATGTGTGTATTTCTTTTTTTCTTTTACTGCATACACATTCCATCTACCTGACTTTTTATTGAAAGTTCTCTGCATCCTGGAAAATGAATGTTGTCTTTAGTATCTGTTTCTGTTCATTACAATTAAAGATCAAAGTTAATACTAATCAGTAAATACTAAGTACAGAAAGTTGAATTAATACTATTAATTTTCAGAACTTCAATTGGCTACCTACTAATATCTTGGAGGTGAATACCTGACAGTGCCATCTTTGTTCACAACTGGTTCTCTGTCAACATTTTCGTTGTAGTCAAGTGCTGCCAAGAGACTCCTAGCTCTGTATGCAGGGGGTGTATAGGCAAGTCTCTTGGAACTGTACATGAGCATGTGGTTATGAAAGCTTTCAAGCTCTGCAGTGCTTCATGTAAACATTGAGAAAATATTTATTATATATCAAGTTGCAGTGCACTATTTTACCTGACACACATTTACTGGTTCACAAATATTGCATACCTGAAATTCAGGTAATAGGGTATGTTGTGTAGTAGCCTCTTGTCTAAAACAACTTTTCTTAGAGCTTCATGAGCTGGACTGCCCTTTATTAACAATTCCTTGTCCCCTGTTTCTTCACCTGTTAAAGGGTCATGCATACACATACTTGTACCCATCTCACTATAGGGCAAGTACCACTCGTGTTCTCTAACAATGTGAGGAAAACTCCAACCCACATCCCCTAAAAATAATAAGTAATGACTGTAAATTGAAATGCAAAAATAACATTCCTTTATATGGTCTTTGGATAATGCACCAAAATTCTAGTTGGTCTACATGCCAATTGAATACATTTTGAGATGGACATATAACATTCAATGGACTTTTATGTTCAAGTTGGAAAGAAAACTTACCATGAATTCATCCAGATTGTTGGCAGTTTTGCATGTAAACCAGAAATGGTTTACAATGTCTTTTGACCACTTCTGTAACTCTCTACAGCTTTTATCTTGACCAGCCTATAAATTAGTATTTTAATATAATTATCTTCAAAATGGTCAGAAAATTATAAATTAGTATTTTCAAATAATTACCATCAAAATATTAAACAAAAATGATCACAAATAATTTTTACTTCTGTGCATATGCAAATACTTATGAAAATACATGTATACAACAATGAAACACCACTTGAAAATTTTTAAAAACTGCATCCAGTTATCTGTAATAAGTTAACACTAGCATACATATTAAGGATAAAATAAGGATTCAGCCCACACATCCATAGCTACTCTTAAATTTCATGTACTTACTGAAATCAACTTCTTCCCAAGGTTCTTTGCTGCTTGCCACACATCATGACTATGTTTGACTGCAGGATAATTCTTCTCTGTAAATAGGAACACATTTTTTAAAAATACACATAAATGCCAACCAAAGTTATTATTTGTACTCACTCATCAGAGCACCAATTTGGAGATGGACATCGGTCACAACCTCTGCTACTTGTAAACCATTGTCCTGTACTTCTTGTATCCCTCTGATAAATCCAGCCTTTTCCAGATTTCCACTTTTCCCCTCTGTCTCTCGCTTATTTTAAGTTTTCACGGATAGGATTTTCTTACATTTTCCATTAAAGTATATGTACAGAATTGTGCACAGTGACCTGGAATATCCATCCTGCCGTTACCTGTAAAATACATGTACATGAAAAGTTATTTTGTATCCTTTCTGAAATCTACCTTAAAAAGTGATGCTTTGCAAACAGATCTGTTTCTTACCAAGAAGAACAATTCTGCAATAAGTTCTTCTTGTTTTTGACTCCAGAGCTCATCAACAGAGGGAACAAGGTATTGTCTCTGCAGTCTGGTAAAAGACGATTGGCTAGGAAATCCCATTTGCAAAAACTTTGCAAATAATTCCATTTTATTGAAGTTGTTGCCCGAAAACAGAATAGATGATGCAAACATGAGATCTCCTCCATGAAGTCCCCGATTCAAGATAGGCTGACTGCACCATTTGTCTGCTATATGAGTGTTTCGACAAATCTGAAAAAAATCATTGTTTGCTTTCAACCTTTATGTTTTGCTTCCTGAAATAATTTTCCAAAGAATTCAATATCATTTTTTATATTACAACAGTTAATAATATTGCAATATTTATACCCATTTTAGATATACAGCTGACCCAACATGTTTTATGGATATTTCTATGCCCTCTCCACATTCTTTGACTTTACAGATAGAGTCCACCTTTTTGTTGGCCAATGTTTTTAACTGCATTAAGTACACAAGGGCAGTCTTGTTCTCCATCAGGTGGCCAAAGTCCTCTTCTGTTAACACTCTACATATAGAGGGACCAACTTCCTCCTCCTCTTCCTCGTCAACTTCCTCTTCCTCTACAGTGGGAAACACAGACTCCACACCAGGACAGTCTTCAATTCCAGTAACATCTTTAGGTCTACAATTAAAAGAAACAGTTGTTACAATGTACATGTACAGAACAAAAGTTGGGCCAAATCCCTCTTTGGGAGCATTTTATTAAAAATATGACAGTCAATAAGTATCCACATATGCATCTATAATGATGCATATAAACTATAAAGTCTAGTTAAGATACCCCTTGAGAAAATTACCTAGCCAGAAATGATGTAAATGCAAAGTTAGACAGAATCTGTGACTTCAGTAGACCCCATATAACAATTTTTACAGGCTTTTACAATGACCCATCTCAATTTTTACTTTATTTGACATCCTTTTACATGAATATAGTCCACTAAATAAACCCTACCCAATTGATATGTTGAAGCTTGGTTGATATGACTCATCGTCACTTTCCTCCAGGTCCTCTGATTCTTCTGATGTGTCAATACTTATTCTGAAATCAATGAATTTAATAAAAATGTGCAGGAAAATTTTTATATCAAATAAAGCTTATACACAAGTAATTTAATGACAATGTTCTGTGAAAAATCATCAGGTGTTATTAGGTATATAGAGCTTCAGATTGTTTAGGTAATTAAAAAAATTTGAAATCCAAATAACTACAGTGTATAGTAAACAGCTCAACAAATTTTGATTTAATGTACGGATTTACCGGTATTTCATAGACCAGTTTTCCTTCTAAATACACCAAAAGTCAAAAAGAAATGAAAATATTAGAATAAAAGTGCTTACTCCAAAGGATCCAAGAATGATGCCGAGTATTTTGATCCTTTAGCCTTTTTGCTGAAAAGTCACAATTGCATGTGTACAATAATTAATGGACATTTAATTTCTGTCTTTATGCTATATCATACACCTTTCAATTGCATAAAATCATGAGCTTGTAAGCTGACCAGTCAGAAGATAAACAACAGCTTACATTTAATCTTTCTCAGAGATATTTTATTAAAATATGAAATGCTCAGCAATTATTTCAGTTACCTGTCTGGTGGTCTGGGGCGAGTAATCTTACTCCTTGATGGTCCTGGTTCTATTTCCTCTATTCCTGACATTGCCCTGAAAATGAAAACAGAAATTCATTCTGCATTGATATACATGTTCTGTGTACTAATCTGAGTAATTAAACAGAGTTGATTCGAGGTTTTAAAATTTTAACACACATGGGTAAATTGAATCTTGGAATTTAAATATCACATTATATATATAAAGCTTACAGATCAGATGTTTTTCCAGATTCTGCAGATGAGATGTCTGAAATGCATGGACGACAGTGATAATTGACTTCCAAATGGTCTCCCTCGCTTTCTCGACGCCATATTTGTTTATGTTCTAAAAGTAGCTCGCGAGGTCACGTGGTACGGTCTTATTCAAGCTGCCCGAAAGAAATTCAATAATAAGATAAAGGTTTCGATATCTTTTTAATGCAGTGGATTTAAATTGCGTAATTTTCCTAGATATTATAACAATATATTAGCAATAAAAATTCGTAATTAATTATATGAAATTTAATTTAGTAATCTATAGCAGCATGTATGCCGGGACAGAATATAGGATGTAGAAATATGAATTTGATGCTGAATAAGGCAAGAGTCTGAGATATGTTTCTCTCTCCTATCAGCTACCGAGAACTGAGCTGATTTGCTTAGCATTAGGAACGACGATAATATCCTATGAGAGATTAAAATAAAAATTCACACGTGATCTGACAGTGACAAAAACATAACATTCCCGTCTGTCACTCCTGTATGTCGTTAGTATTGTTTTTATTTAATTTAAAGTTCCTATAATCGTTTAGCTAAAACAGACTAGAAGTAACGATTTGTTTCAAATTTTTCTTTTACAATAAAAGCTAGGCCAAGAAAGTAGTTCTGGTTGAGAGATTTATCGACGTGAAAACTTTTTCTTGAATTTGTTCTTGTCCAATCAAAACACAGGAAATCAATAAATAAAATTAAGATTGGAATTATTAATTAGAAAATATTATTTCTATGGTTGTTATACTGTAATCATCATAAGTAGTGAAATAAATTATCATTACTGTAAATATTTATTTATAAAGAAAAGAAAACATGTAAATATAAAATATATAATAATCATATTATAAGAAATCCACATACCTTATGTGGGCTTACCCATGATGATATAGAAACAAACTATAAACAGCTGATTGCAAAGGGACGTAATTAAAAAAATATCGCTTCAATTCAGTCTACAACCATCCACCCCGATTTATTTACATAATACTTCAATTTCTTGTAAATTATATTTTCAATTTCAGTTTGTGTGGTAACTATATATCATACAGTTTCAAGCTACAGTGACATAAACATGAACCTGTGATACGAATGCTAAATATCAAAACCATGCCTCTAAAAATTCAAAACAAATTAATAAGTTAAATTAACCATCCACAGTATTTTTGCAAAAAAGCTCCAGGTTAAGTGATCTGTAATGCTGATATTTTACATAATATTCATAACTGCTTGTAACCGGGCATATGCTAAATAGCATAAACTTACCTTTAAAATGTCAAAAGTATGCTGTATATAGGCACTATGAATTACTTTGAAAAGTATGTCAAAGGTCAAGTTCAAGGATCACGATGTCGGTAACCATGGTAATATACAAAAGACGTGATCCTGCCAAGCAATACATGTACAATATCAAATCCATACCTCTTACAGCTCTCAAGATATAATGTGTTACAGACGGACAGAGAGACGCCGACAAAAGTTACCCGTAAATGTCGCTCTGCTCTGTGACACAAAAAATGCTACAATTTTAAACTATGAGATCCTTTTCTAATGATGATTTTGTAAACTAGGTGTATTCAATACTGTTTCTAGAGTTGGAGTTGATACACAATACCTATGACACAAAAAACAGTGTCCACTTTCAACATTATTTGAAGCACACACACAAGAGCGCGCAATCTTTTAATTCTTTGAAGACGATTTGTTAATTTTTCTGAACAGAAGCTTGCGATACTGGTATTTTGACAAAACAAATAGTTTTTAATTAAATTTACAATCTGATCAACATCTTTGAGTCCTTTCTGTAAAGATGTCATCTCAGCGGCTCACTACTGCCAATACCAAAGGGATATTATACTGTAAGCATATTTTTAAGATCTTCTTTGTGGACAGTTTATCAACTTATTCTACAAATATATAGTGTAGAGATCAGTAGCATCTTCTCGGTCCTTTCTTGCAAACTGCGAAAAACACCTCTAATGTATTTACATCCCGGATGTTAATTTTTTTTAAATGGAGTAGCTTAATTCTTGTTTATAAAAGTAATGGATAAACAGAGTTGAGTGTTCCTTCTGTAGTATATTTAGGTACATGTGTTATCTTTTTACAATCAATGAAGTTAAGATCCATACTCTACAGATACATGTAAGAGGTCTCCTTACATTTACTTCAATGTTTGTGAGAGGGGGGCGGGGTGTCATGGACGCCAATGTAACACATTCTTGGTTGTTTTCTGCTTGTCGGAAAAAGTCCGAGAAATTGCGGTCGGTATAGATTAAAACCAAACGTTGCTTAAATATGGCCATTAGTGCAGGGTTGGGAATTTCTTTGACTTATTTACAGATTTTAAGGTCTATGAAGTTATGTGTAAAGAAAATGAAGCATGTCTCAATAGGTAACCAAAATAATAATAATAATAATAATAATTAAAAAAAAAGGATGCATGCAAATCAAATCTCTTACCTGTCTTTAAAAAATATTGAAAGATAGAAAAAAAAAAGTTATAAACAAAATCAGTATTTCTGCTGAATGTTTTTAATGAGATAGGAATTCTTGTAGAATGATTCCTGTGGCTTTTCGTGCAAAAGCAAAAACTTGAATGTGAAAGAATTCAAAACTGAATGATTAATTATTTCTGGACAAACAAATTAAAATCTAAATGTATTTCAATACATAGATTTCTTCTTGCGTGACAAAATATGTGTTTTTACATGTAAAAATTGAAAACTCTCTAGTTAGTAATTAAGCACATATATTAAATGGATGATATTTGCACTTAAAATATACACATTTCAGGATACGAAATAATTAAATACATCAAACTGTCCGTCTTTGTTCAACAAAGGACGTGACACAGGATGCATAGTAAACTCTTTTGCTTAAGAAAAAATGCAGAGCTACGGTAAAAATGTGTAAAAACTTTCCGGGGATTTCTTACAAATTGTTACGTATTTATCTATTAAAACAAATTACCAAATGGTTTATTTTTGTACATCAAAGGACATGACACAGGATGCACGTAAACTCATTAGCTTCTGAAGAAATAAAAATATACAATTTCGAGGTAAAAGTCTATATATAGAGTCTTTCATTAAATGTGGCTTACACACTATTGGTGATATTTGGGATAAAGACAGCAAGTCTTTTAAGACCAATGTATACGTATTTACAAAACTTCTTGATAAAAGAAGTTCGGTTTTTGAATATAGCAAGATAAAAGCTGCCATACCTAAAAATTATATTGATATTCTTGCAGGGAGAAATACTGCAAATACCGGTGATAAAAGAATAAATAACTATTTTGTGTTGTTTGATAATTTCTTAATTGTAAGGAAAACAAATAAGTTTACAAATTTTGATGATATAAAAATCAAAGACCTACAAAGAGTGTTAAACAAAAATGTTACTCCCAAATCTCAAGAAAAATGGGAGAATTTGCTGCAAATTGACATTACATGGGAAAGAATTTGGGGGTCAATTTACGAAGCTAAATTAAAACAAAAAATTCAAGAATTCCAATAGAAATGTTTGCATAACATCTTATACACCGAGGAAAAACAACGTATAATGGGTTTATCAAATGGCAAATGCCTTTTTTGTAAAGCAAATACTGAGAGCCAGAAGCATTTATTTTCTGAATGTAAACACGTCAAAGCAGTTTTAGAAATGGTACAAAGAATAATTTTACTAATACCTGTAAAGGATTCAATCAAATTTGATGCATGTACTGTTCTACTGGGATTTGCCATAGAACCCAAAAATGTTCGAATTTGTGTTAACACTTTGATTTATATATATAAGTGGTCAATATGGAAAACAAAAAACAGTATCAAGTATGAAAATAACTAACTACCTCATTGCTCCAAAAAGCATTCACGAAAGAAATGAAATTAATTTTTCAAATGTTAAAAAATGATAAACGCAATTTTAAGGGAAATATGAATTTAACGTTAACTGTATTAACAGAATTCGAGAAACTGTTACCTGTTTTCCACAATCCAGATTTAAATTAAGTTCAATGTATTTTTTTCCCCATTTATTCAATATATTGCAACACATTCATGAATCGCACCGGATTGCAAATTATATATATACGAACAAGAAATTTAGAACCAAAATTGAATCCGGATAAATATTCTTTGTTTTTATACATGTATGTTATACAATTTAATATTCATATTGAATGTATGATATGAATAAATTATGTGAGACATTGTATTTAGATTTAGATATTTAGCACCCTGCATGTGTTGTAGGGATTATTATTATATATTGTTATAGAGGGAGCTTAGTCAGGGCCCCATCCCTTGTAGCTGCCCTATATATCATCTTTAATGTTATAGGTCTGGGAAATAAATGTGAAAAAAAAAAAATAAAAAATAAAAATAAGTTTTAATTTCACGGGAAATTCTGGAAAACTGTTACATGGTTATTTATACAGATTTAAACAGCTACAATGCATACAAAAATATTGTCTTCATGTGCTACGTTTATTGCCCTGTTTTCTATTATTTAGATTTTTAGTGTGTTTACAAGTTTAGTTTTGGCAACTAAGTTTCGTGTCGATTAATTTTTGGTCAGCTGCCCAGACGAATGTACCTGTGTACATGAAAAAAAATCATTGAGATCAATGTTTTATATGCATATTTGTAGGGTACAAAATATATGTAAAGATATTTCCAAACATGAAAAGACGTAAACGTTTTGCATACATGAACCACAATGCTTTTTCCCATTTCAAAATGCATCGAGGAACATACATGATGCTCAAGCCGAAACGTTGTAAATCCAAAATATTTAAATAACAAGAGGGCCAAGGGCCTTAACGGTCACCTGAGTACAACGATTTAGAAGATCCATAGACTGATAAATGAAGCTTTGTTGTCCAAAAGCAAGAAAAATAGTAGGATTAAGATCAACAAAATAATTGGTCTAGTGTCTAATCTGTCCCCCATTTATCACTATTACCATGCAGACTTTTAACAAAATATCTATTTTTAACCCAATATTATTACCTCTCACATTGGC